GGGGCTGGGCAGGTGTCGCCCCCTGCTGGTGACTTGCTCTGGGGCCTGCAGAGGCTGCCGCAGGACGGGGGCGTGAGGTCAGCGCCGGTCCTCGCCCGCTGCGCTTGGGGCAGGTTCCATTCTTCTTTTCCGTGAAAGGGTCAAGCCTGCGAGGCTGCTGGCCCACACCCCACTCTCAGACGGGCTTTGCCTGTGGAGTAGATGACGGGCCACCTTCCGCTCTGCCCTCTGGGGCTCCTCTCCCTCGCTTCTCAGCTCTGGGAGGCAGTGGTGGAAGAGATAAGGTTAGCTATGAACCGAAAACTGGCGGGCCCGTATTTAGGCTCACATTTGGAGTTTCGCTCACAGCTCAGGCGTGCTGGCGGCCACCCTCAGCGGGGTGACTGAGGGAGAGAGGTTCCCCTCCGCCTGCAGCCCGAGGTTCCTGTCACTCCTCCCTGAGCACGTCTGATGGGAACCCAGCCCCAAGAGCCGGACGGCAGGGCCTGGGCGTTGGGGGACCACAGCAGGACTCAGCGAGGATCCATGTGGTCAGCTTTGGGGTGGCGATCACAGTGGCAGCTTTGGCCTCGGCTGGAGACTGAGGCTCAGAGGGGTGGGTTCAGGTTCACGACCGCACATGGTTCATAAAGGAAAGAGACCAGAGGGCCCGGCCCAGCACCCAATCGGGCCGTCCCTGGGGAGGAGAGGGAGTCACACGCCTGCTCCGCCCCTTTAGACGCTGCCTGCTCTGTGTCGCTGCCGAGGGACACAGGTGAGACCAGCGGGCGGGGGGGGGGGGAGCACAGGCGTGATCTGGGGCGGGAGCAGGGCTCCTCCTATGTCCGCTGAGCCATCAGCTATAGAAACCGACCTTTGATTTGCTCCACTTCATCCTCAAATGTCACGGAGCTCCTCCTCTTGGGCGGGCACGTGCAGTGGGACGGGGCGTTGTCGTCTGACGTCCAGTCTTCCAGCAGCATCACGTCTGTTCCTGAGACCAAGGGCGGAAGCGCTGTATGGCCTCCGCCCCACCCACCCTTCAGCCCGCTCCCAGGACGCCCTCCAGAGGGGCTGCTTCTGCCACGGCGACAGCGGGGGGCACAGAAGGAAGGAGCGGACGGGCACAGTGAGCGGGAAGGTCCTATTTGCAGTTACTGCCTCACCCTGAATTTCTACCACCATGGTTAAAATATACTGTGCTATATAAACAGGAAAAACTAGCAAATTTAAAGTTCTTTGGGGGGCTACAGAGGAGTGAAAAGTACCCCCTGCCAGTGGGGAAATAAAGGCAGAAGTCCTGTCAGAGAACCGGGCGGAGCAGGCCCGTGAGAGGCACGGGGCACCAGGCTTGTTCTGTGACAAGCTTTCAATCCACTCGGGCCTCAGGGCTCCGGAAATCGGGGACACAGGAAGCCTGGGCCACCCTCCTTCAGAGCCCTGCCAGGCCAGGGTCCAGTGCACAGGCACAGGGTCACTGGCGGCTTGGTTCATCTCTCAGTATCTGTGTCTGTAACGGGCGGCCTCACTCAGCCTCGCTCATGGGATCGTGCTTCGACACACGTCGAAGTTCAGCGCGGTGCGTGGCACGCAGGGGCCACGCCAGTGGAGTCTTTACTCAGCGGAGCACAGTTAAGGAGCGCCGGGCAAGAGCTAAGGCTCGGGTCTGTGGGAGCCCAAGGCCTGCATTTTCTTCTGCCTGCAATGCTAGCCTTGTCCCCTGTCACTCTGCGGGCACGGGCGGCATTCACTGTGCTCACCCGGTGCTGGGAACAGGCCCTGGCGCGACGCGGCCAGGCACTTCCGGGAGCCGAGCTTCTGGGCGGGGCCTGGGTGGGGGCAGGTGGGCTCTCTGTGCATGGGGCTGAGCAGCGCTCACAGCCATAGGGTCTCCTCATCCTCAGCTGCCCTGTGCACGGGAGTATCTCCCCCGCCACCCAAATCAGAAACTCGGGGTTCAGAAGGGGACTGAGCAGCTCGCCTGGGACCCCACTGCTCCTAACAGGCTGACAGGAGATGGGGAACCAGGCAGGTAGATCTCAGGGCCTGGCTGCTCAGTAGTGTTTACCAGGTATGCTTGAAAAATATGGTGTGTGTTTAAATTTTAAAAAATGTATTACAGGGCCAGGGATTTAGCTCAGCGGCACCGTGCAGGCCTCGCAAGTGCAAGGCCCTGAGTTCAATCCCGGTACCAAAAAAAAAAAAAGTATTACAGTAAAATACACATTCCCATGAGTCCCCTGCAAAATACTCCCTCTCCCTTCTGAGACACTTATCTTGCAACTGGCTGAAGCAGTTCAGGAAGTCTTCTTTCGTGAGTGTCTTGAGTTGATTCAAAACATTTACCTTTCATGTTCATTTTGACTTTAGGGAAGAGCCAGAATTTGCTGAGTGCCAGGCCCAGTGAATGAGGCAGATGAGGACACACCGTAATGTTTTATCTGACAGAAACTGCTGCAGATGTTTGATGGAGAGGTGCTCATAAAATACGGTGACCATTTAAACTGAAAAAATGTATTATGGTAAAAGACACACTGCCATTGATTCCCCTCAGAATACTAAAAAATACTCTCATCTCATTTCAAACTTATTTCCATCGTTCTTGGCAATGTCTTTTACTGTAGGAAGTTTCTGAAATTTAAACATTCACTGCATCTTTTGATCACTGCTTGTATAACAGAATGCCAGTTTTTTAAAATTTTAATGTTTCAAAGGCTTTTCCTGACTTCCAACCTTAGAGTAGCACCCTCCGTGTGGCAGGGAGAATAGGAATGGAGATGCCTGTTTGACAGAAGAGGAAACTGAGGCACAGAAATGCTAAGGCCAGGACTGAAAAGGCCCTGCACACCTTGCAGTGTCCGTCCGTCCTGCCGCAGCCAGACACCCAAGACGGGTGAGAGCCTTATGGCGGAGGAGGCTTACCTGAGTCCTGCGAGCAGCTGAAGCCCGTGTCCCCAGTGCTGCTGCTGTGCCCCAGGGGCTGTGCACCAGCCATGAGCGCGGTGAGGTGTGGGGACAGGCCCAGGTCTGAAAGGCAGAGTCGGCAGTGACAGACGGATCGCACTGGGCCCGCCACCCGCCTGGTTCTGTCTCCCCACTGCCCTGGCCTCTGCCCTCCATCCTGCTTGCTTTCTTATATTTACTTATTTTTATTTATTTTGCAGTACTGGGGATTACACTCAGGGCCTTTGTACTGAGCTTGTCCCCAGCCTCCCTCACCCCCTTTTGGTTTTTACTTTGAGACAGGTCTAAGTTGCCCAGGCTGGGCTCAAACTTGTGACCCCCTGCCTCAGCCTCCCAGAATGCTAGGATTACCAGCATGCACCACCACATTCAGCTCATTCTTTCTGTTGTCCCTTACACGGAAAGAGGGGAGACTTCAGAGGCCAGATCAGGACTCCTGGTCTCTCCACAGAGGAAGCCCTCCTAACACCAACAGACCCCAAACTGGCGGGCCGTCTGTGAGCAAACTTGTGGGGTCTTCATAAAGTCACAGTGGGTACAGCTCTCTCAAAGTCCTGCTCATGTAGCAAAAGGGAATTCTTTTTTAAAATTTATTTAGATGGTACTAGGGATTGAACCCAGGGCCCTGGCACTGAGCTACATCCCCAGACTTTTGTTTGTTACCTTGAGACAAGATCTCGCTAAGTCACCAAATTGCCCGGGCTGGGCTAGAATTTGGAAGTCCCTTCTGCCTCAGTCCCCCAGAGTGCTGGGACTACAGCCCTGTACGACCACGCCCGGTTCAAAGGGGAATTTTTTTAAAGAGGGTCAAACCCCCAAGGGAGAGAGAACTGGGGGAAGCTGTAGAGCAGGTGGATGACAATGACATGGGTCTAAGAAAACGAGCTGGGGAGGTTGGACAGAGGCCCCCAGAGCTCAAAGACCTAGGCCCAGGGGTCTCTGCAGGCACCCAGGGCAGGCACCTGGACCCTCTACTGCTCCTCCCCCCCTGCTTTTGGGGCTCCCAATCCCCAGAGATGGCAGAGACCATGAGCCAGGGGCCTGGACATGAAGATACCAGGTACGCTAGAGGGCAGGAGTGACATGGTACAAACAGGGAGGAATGAAACGCGGCATATCCAACCCTCGGGAGGTGGTGGCTGATTGGGGATGCAGGGCACCTCTCTTCTCAAGCACTAGCACACACATCGGGCACACGGGTCCAAGGCAGTGAGTGTCTTCGCCTTGGTATGTGACTAATGTGAAGTCATGACATTTAAGCCACCGGTTTGGTTGTAAGACATGTTTTGTAAGGGTGTGTGCTATTCAGTAGGGTATTACACATGAGTGATACTGCAAATCTGGTAAAGACTGTTATTTCTTTAATAATCTCTATATCTGAAAATAAGTTAAAATCATGTATTTCAGTATATAATAAATGCAAATCTGTAGGTTGTTTTGTTTTGCATTTCAGCACGTTAGTAACGAATGTGTTTCTCAGATACACGTTACCTGCCCTGTAGCTTTTTGGACAGTGACCTCCCAAGGGTTAACATTGGAAGCTGACCTTTGCCCCCCTCAACCTGGGCTGGAGACTAGAGACCTCTTCCCCAGAAAACCAACCAGCCCGAGAGGAAGCCCTGCAGGTACTGGGCACCGGGTGCCGGGAAACCAGCCCTGCTGGACCACCCTGCAGCCAAGAAACCAGGCCACCATCGCCGGGGCACATGGGATGGCCAAGGGCCGCCAGACAGGAAGGGCAGGCGCCAGCATGAAAGACAGAGGTGGGGGCAAAAGGAAAGATGCGTGATCGAGTACCCTCATAAAGCTGAAAAATAAAGACTCCATAAAAAGAGCTGGGGTTCCAGGAAAGGGAATGTGGACATAAAAAGCTCTTCACCAATTAAAAGTGTGGGGGGAAGTCGGACTCCTCAGATCTCAGGAGGAAGAGCTATGCCTCGCAGATTTAATGACGGCTGCTGTTGGAACATGCTCCTCACGTCTGTGCGGTGGTGTAGAGGGAAGCAGGCCCAGGGCAGCCATGCTGGGCAGGGGGCCTCACGGGGGACGAATGTCCCAGCCACAGAGGTGGCTTAGGGACCTCAAGAGTGGGCTTCTGTCCTCTTGTTCTCACCATTCCACCTTGCCCAGTGAGATGACACAGCACAAAGGACCTCACCAGCAGTGTCCTGGACTTCCCAGCCCCCACAGCCCTAAACCGAATAAACCTCTGTTCTTGATCAACCCCTCAGCCTCAGGTATTTTGATGCAGTAGCAGAAAGTGGACTAAGACAATGAATGACGGGCAATAAAGGATAATCTTGATTCTTCTGTAACACTCCCAACAGGAGAAGACCCCACTTATCCTAGTGCTTCTGAGGGTACAAGGTGACAGGACACACTCTCCTCCCTTCCCTGGAGCCAGGAGGAAATGGGGAGGGGGAGCAGGCAGGCATAGCAAGTTTCAGTCCTTCCATCACTTTTGGGAATCCATAAGGAGCTGTGTTTTTACTTCCCTCTGCGCTGCGGGTTGGCTCCAGGGCTGGGACCAAGCAGACCCCAAACATCTCCTCTGCATCTGGCCACCGCTTTGTGGTCCTAGCCTCAAACATGGCTGTGACCAACAGGAGGCCCGGCCTGGGCAGTGGAGCCTAAGGGGCCACCCTCTGCCGACAGGGCTGGCAGAAGCCACAGTGGGCTCTGGACAGCAGCTCTGAGGCTGCCGCAGAAACCGGCAACAAGTTTCCCTCTCCGCCTGTGGGAAGCATCCTTGGAGCCAGACCAGAGCGGCTCCGTGGAAAGGTCTGGAAACAGGGCAGCCGGGCGGCACCACTTCCCACCAGAGAGGGGGCTGTTACCCTAAGACTGTCCCGTGAACCGGGCGCTGCTCCTCAGGAGCTTGCATGGGTCTCAGCCACTCCTGCCCTCCAGCAACTAAGGGAACGGGCAGCGCTCCAGGGTGAAGCAGGCACGAAGGAACTGCAGGACTCCGCGGGGCCACAGAAGAGCACAGAGATGCAGCGGAGGAAAACTCGGGGCTCCAGGTCACCCCTCCCTCCTTCCAGCCAAGACAGCTCAAAGAAGGACCTTCCGGGGGCATCTCCCTCTGAGAAAAGGAGACAGGTCCTCCTGCCCCGGAGCCCGAGCTCCAATCCCAGGGAGGGCGGCCCATGGCCTGGCTCTCAGGTGGGACCTGCCAGGTGCAGGGCTGATGGTGCCCCCCCCTTCCTTCTCCAGCTCCTTCCCCCTTGACTGGCAGCAGCCACTGGTCAGCTTCGGGTCTGAGGGGCCGCATCCCCGGACCATGTGTCAGCATGAGGCTCACCTTCTGGCACCAGAATCCAGTCCACCCCAGGGCTGCCACCCCACGAGTGGTCCCCCGGCACCTCACAGTGGCCCTGAGGACACAGCTCCCAGGGAGCCCTCCCTCAGGAATCCGCTGATGAGACTGCAGAAGCAGAAGGCACTGGTGGCCAGTGATACCTGGGACTCCAGGGAAAGCTTCTCTAGCTTGGGGTGCACAAAATAGGAAAACCACAGTCCCCTGATGATGGCTGAAATCTGCCCTGCATGAAAGAACCACTGTCGCGTGCTTAGGAGACTGCAGGCATCCAATTGGCAGGGAAGCTCAGGGGACTTCGGAATTCTGCTCTGCCTCGGCTGAAAAGCACTGTTCTAAGGAAGCCTGTGATTCCCTTTACTGACTTCCTCAGTGAAGACTTTCCAGGTGCCCATGCAGACAGACACCACCCAGACAGAGCCTCCAAGGCACTCCTTGCTGGCTGTGTGCAACTTCTAGGGCCCCTGTGTACCCAGAGGTGCCGCTTGTGCCAGGGGAGGTGATCTGCGTTTGGGAAGCAGTGGCAAATCAAAGCCCTGCTCACAGACGGTATCAGCTGTGGCTGAGACAGACAGACCAGTGGGGTGGAGGCAGGGTTGTCCCTTGCCGTCAGGAAGGCAGTGGGCATTCCTGGCTTGGGTGGCACAGGGATCGGCCCCTAGCTGGGCCTTGTTCCCCACACCAGTGCTGACGCTGCTGCCCCGTCCCACGATCAGGCCCTACAGGGAGGAACAGGGACTCCCCAGCTCCCACCCTGGAGCTGGCCGGCACCCCACGAGCTCGCTAACCCAGAAACATCCCACAAGACTGCTTCTCCCTAAATGAGAGGAGACGCTGGCAGCTGGGCTGGCCACCATAACCACAGCTCGTGCTGCGGCTGGCTCTACCGGCCTCGAGAAATCTGGGACAATCACAAGGGACTGGCACGGAAATCTTGGCAGGGAGCAGATGCTTCTTTTCATTCTATCTTTTCACGCTCCCTCTATTCTCTCTCAGATTTTTTCCTTCCTCATTTTCTGCTTTGCCAGAATGGAAAGCATCTATCATTTTTGGCCCAGAAAATAAATGACTCCAAAATCCAGGCATGTTCATCAGAGAAATGGAGCCAAAGGTGGAACGCAGTCCCGGCTTACATGTTCTACTGGAAAACATGGACTTGTAAGTGGCAGGGGTGGGCGTTTCAGTGGGTTTAAATACTGAGATACAGAGGGAAATTTTTTTTATTTCTATGATCAAAATAAAAAGTCCCAGACTTCCTGTAACTGGAAATAACACTCCGCCAACCCGTGAAATAAATCAGCAAGGCTCATGAGTATCCCTGCCACATGGAAAAGATTGCCTGTCACCTTTGCCAGGACAGGATCCTGGTGTTTAGGAGTCATTACTCCTTCCACCCCGCTCAGAGGGAGGTGCAGAGCCTCCCAGTTTCATGAAGGGGAAACATGAACTGGACAGTCTGATGAGCTGCCAGCGTCACCTGGCAGAGGTGAGGGCTGCAGTCTGAATGTGGCGCCCTCCACACCTTCTGTCTCACTGGGCAGGTGACAATCTCCTCAGCCGTGATCCTAAAATCCCAGCTACATCGCTGCAAATCGGCACAGCGGCAAGTGCTGAGGACTGGAGCCACCTGTGCAGCCTCCAGCTGTCCCCCGTTGTACTGATTAACCATGACAGAGAAACAGCGCCTCCGAGGTGGAGAAATCTGACAGACACCACCTTAACCAAGGGACGGGGTGACAGATGTGTACCAGCTGATCCACCAACCCCTCGCCCTCGGGGCATTCTTGCCAAAAACAAACGATGTAACCTCATTCTGATCAGAAGAAAGCATCTGATGGAAGCAAATGCGGGCACATTGTACAGAATCTCTGACCAGCACTCCAGAAAGGGGTCAGAGGAGGGCTGGGCTGACTTGCCCAGCACGCGCCAGGCCCCGGCTTTGCTCTTGTGCTATGGTTATGCAAGAGGTTGACACCAAGGAAAGCTCTCTGTACTGCTTTTCCAACTCTCCTATAAATCCAAAATCATTTCCAAATAAAAAGTTAAAAAAAAATAAATCTAGTCCCCGTGTAGAGCAATCAATCCACTGGGGTCTCATCAAAGGTAGGGTGACTGCCTTGGTGAAGACTTACCAGGTGAAGAGCAGCTTTGGCCACAAGACAGTGACATCCCCATGGGGGCTGAGAGGGGACATTCCACCCTCCCCCAGGTCCTGGAGACTGTGGGAGGAAAGGCAAGGCCGAGGGGCAGGTGGCTGGGTGAGGGACGCAGGTGGGGAGGGAGTGCTGGACAACAGCCACACTAACGGGAGAGGGTTTGGGGTGTCAGACTCGGGCATCCCCTGCCTGCTTCCTCCAGGATGCACACCGGCCCCCCACCAGCATGGCCTGGAGCTGCCACATGAAGGAAAGAAGCCTGGGGGATGGTGGAGTGCCCCTCCCCACAGCAATCTGTTCTTCTGGCCCGGGCCACTGCCAGTCTGAGTTCTCACGGTACACACAGAGCCACTGAGCCTGAGACCCCAGCAGAGCTCCTCCTGGGGCAGGAAGCCCTTTCCTCCCAGGTGCCCACGTTACCTGTGATCCTGTTGGAAATGCTGAAGAGCCGGGATGTCCTCTGGCGCTGCACAAACGGCTCCCGGTAATACCGGTCCCCAAAGCACATGCCCAGGAGCTCCTTGCGGACTGTCTTGTTCCAGAGGCCATAAATCAGGGGGTGGCAGATGGCGCTGGTGAAGGACAGCCACGTGGCCCAGGTCTCCAGGGTTGGGGAGACGTAGTTCTTCCCCCAGAGCGCCTCGGAGGTGATGACAGCCATGTAGGGGCCCCAGGTGACCATAAAGGCACCGAGGACCACCAGGATGGTGACGAGGGCCTTGCACTGGTTGGCCGAGTAGACCACGCCCTGAAAGGCATTCCTCCGGCTGCCTGAGGACGAGGTGGAGGTGCTGGAGTTCTTCCTCCCGCCCCTCTGCACATCCTCCTCCACGATGACCACCGTGCCACAGTGCACCTTGCGGGCCTTGACCCGGGCCACGCGGAAGATGAAGCCGTAGCACACCAGCATGATCACGAAGGGGAACAGGGCGCACCAGATCTGCCAGAAGGCCGTGTAGCCGGGCTCCCGGTGCCAGGCCGCCACGCACATCCACTTGAAGTCGTCAAACTCCACCGATGGCCAGCCGAACAGAGGGGGCAGGCAGCCTACCAGGGAGTGCAGCCAGATGTAGACCAGCGCCATCACTGCCCGGTTCCCCGTGATCTTCATGGGGTACACCATCGGGTACAGCACAGCGTAGTAGCTGGAAGGGGAGGGGGAAGCAAGAGGAGTCAAGGGGAGACAACACACCGGAACAGGCACCCTGCTTTTCTTGGGCGGGGCGTGCGTGGACCCAGCCAGGTGGTGGCTTCTAAAGGAGCTACCTTCTCCCAGTGCTACCAGACAGGTTGCAGGCTGGGCCAGGCTCTTCCGCTTGGCAGGGCTCTTCAGCAAGCAGCCACCGGACACCAGGGAGGACACAGAGCTCGGACTCCCACCTTGTATTTGGGGGTGTGGCTCCCCTCGAGGCCTCTCCACAGGTCCTGAGGGATCCCGTGTCTGGCCAGATCAGTTCAGTTCATCAGGTTTCAGAGGTGCCCAGCCCTACAAGCCATCTCGCCCAGGGTCCCTGGCCCAAGGGAGGCTTTCCCTTCACTCGGCTGTGACGAGGGGGTCGGCAAGAGTTGGCAGACAGGACAGGAGGGGCACAGCAGGCCTCCTGGGGGCAACACTCCTGGCGGGCAGGAAGCTACCTCGGCAGGGTGTGGAGGTGCCAAGGAGTACAGGCGCACAGGGAAGCTGCACAGTGACCTGCTATGCGGTGCCAGGACCCCAGCTTACGTCCACAAAGGCCCCGCAGCCCTGCGGAAGAAGCAAGCCTTGGACAGAGGCTCTGCTGTCTACTGGCTGTGGCCCTGGGGGGCTGATTTAACCTCTCAGAGCTTTAGTTCATCTTCTGTGAGGTGGAACCTCATCACCTATAGAACCTGCATCCCAGGTCTGCTCCTGGAATGGACAGGGCAGACACAGCCTGGCTCGTGCTGCCCCTTGAGTGCAGCCCACCAACTCTCCCCCGTCCTCTGCAGGGTCAGGATCCCCACAGCGCTCTGCCCCTGCTGAGCTTCACGCTGTTCCCATGGGGACACAGGGTCCTGGGCCCTAGGGGTGCTCAAGCGATCAATGGCAGCCTCCTTCCTCTTGCCGGGCAATCAGCCCAGGCACGGAGCTGTTCGACACCATCCCAGCAAGTGAAGTGTGAAAGGAGCCTGTGAGAATGGGAGGCGCCTCTAGACAAGTTTCCTTCACAGCTAAGAAGGCACAAGGCTGAGACGTCCACTCTTCCCTACCCCTCTAAGGAGCATGCGGTGCTGGGACCTCAGGACCACAGGGGTGACCAGCTTTGGGAAGTGGTGCCCAGGCTGGCCACCTGTTAGCTGTTGTGCATCCCCTGACCGGCCCTGGCCTCCCCTCATAAAAGCAATGATGAGTAATTAGTGAGTGTCCTCCGACAGACTGACTTCCGGCCAGCCTCAACACCCGGTCATTAGGACCAGACTGGGTCGTACGATTTCTCCTTTACTGTGACAAAAGCTACCACTTCGGTTTGTCCCTCCCTGACTAAGGCTTGGGCGTGGACAGCCACCACTGGACGTGGCTGATTTCTCCTTCCCAAGTTCAGAGGGGGTCGAAGCAGGGGAGCTGGGTGCTGGCCCCAGCCCTGCCCACACCCACCATGGCTTCCTTTCAGTTCTTTTTGGGGGGAGAGATCAATTTATACACCCTGAAATGCCCAGGTCCACACCTCTGTCAAGGTATATTCCCCACATCTTCCTACCAAAACTGGGTTTAAATATTTTGAACTGTAGACTCAAAACAGTTAGTTTGTTTTGTAGTGTTGAGAACTGAACTTGGGGTCTAATGCATGCTAGGCAAGTGCTCTACCACTGAGCTACAGCCCCAACCCAAAACTACCCCCCAACAGCATGATTCCATACACGTAATACTGCAAAATGGGCACACACTGACTCGCAAGCTCACACATCGGGAGAGGGCTGGTGATGGGGTGGAGGTCCAAGGGCCTCCAGGGGGCCTGTACTGGGGTGCTGGCCATGTAGGTGTGCCCAGTTTATAAAAATTCATCAAACTGCCCTTTTAGAATACATACAGTTAGCCAGGCGTGGTGGCAGCCGCCTATAATCCCTGTACTTGGGAGGCTGAGGCAAGAGGATCGCTGTGAATTTGAGGCCAGCCTGGGCTACAGTGAGTTCAAGCCCAGCCTAAACTACCTAGCAAGACCCAGTCTCAAAAAAAAAGGCACCGTTTTCTGAAGGTACACTATATAATAAAATTTAGTTTTTAAAAAAGCCACAGCATTGTAGTAAATCTCTGAAACTCCTTTTTAAACTGACATGTCATCTAGGCCTAGTTTCTGGTTCAAAGGAGAGGAAAGAACAGAAGTGACTCCCCACTCCCAGGCGGTCGATGCAGGCCCAGAGAGGGGTTTCTTTCGCTTCCTGAACTCCTGTCTTGGGAGGATGGTCCACCTTTCCTTCACTGACTCATTTTTAGATACCAGATCACATGCAATCCTTTGGCCCAACAGCAGCTTTAATGATGTCACATGTAACTAAGCAGCTGGAACGGTGGGGAGGGGCTCCAGATGTGTCGCTCTTGGCCACAACCCAACCACTTCAGTAGCGACCTCTGTTTTCATAAGATGTCCTCATTAGAAACAAACAACATCTAAGCTGACTGAGGCACCTCCGGGTGAACACATTCACTCGCACTGAACAGCCTCCTGGAAGCACTAGTGACCGTCTGCGGTACGGCAAACCGTCCTGTCGTTCTAGCTACTTTCAAATGTTATGTGCTATTTTTAGAGCTCCAGATTCATCTGCCACAGTGTGGGATGAAAATAGGAGAAATATTTTTAATGGGCCTGGCGCCCTGGCAGCGTCACAGCCAGGCTGGACGTGAGCGCACTTTCGGGAATCCACTTCTTCACAGCAGCACGGCTCATGGACTCCGGCCGGCCAGCTGGCTCAGTTTCCCCTCGGCTGGGTCAGGACACTGACATCCAAAGGGTGACTCTCTCTCCGTCAGTCCTTTTTGTGTATTCTGCCTCGCTCTCTTTTTATGATGCTATAAAACAGACTCTTTAGGCTCATCTCTCCAACCAGTGTGATGGAATTTTTTCCTTTCTTTTCATGTGGTTTTGGGGATAAAATCCAGAGCCTTGCACATGCTTGGCCAACACTCTACCCAGAGCCGCACCCCAGCCCTGAGGGATTTCTTTCCTAAGACTCCCAGCTGGGAAAGATTCTGTCCCCTGGGGATATCCGGCAACAGTGTCACTGTGGGGGGTGACTGGCTTTGGGTGACCAGAGCCAAAAAGGTGCCAGAGACCCTGCAGGGCGAGCCAGCGCCTCCCCACAGAGGACGGCCTGGCTGGGAAGGCCACAGTGCTAGCAGAGAAGCCCCGAGAGCAGCTGCCTGGCAGTGGGCTTAACAGACAGCACCGACTTCGATGGTGCAGGCTCTGGAAGCAAGCACAGGACGGGCGGTTACCTAAGAGCCAGGAGCCTTGGGTAGGATACCTCAGGTCTTATTTTTTTATTTTTATTTTTATTTTTATTTTTGGTATCGGGGATCCAACTTGGGACCTTGCGCTTTCGAGGCAGGCCCCAGAACCACTGAGCTAAATCCCCGGCCCCTCAGGTCTTATTTAGAGCCCCACTTTGCTCACCTGCAAAGCAGGGGCTCATGGGGCTGCCGGAAGGTTGCTGAGCGAATGCTGGCAGACAACACAGGGCGGAGCCTGCACCCAGCACAGGAGAGCTAAGACGGTGACCACAGCCACGGCCTCTCTCCACCTCCTTCTTAGAAACACTCCCGTCTCCACCTCTGTGGCCACTCTGTCCTCTCTCCGCTCACTGAGCTTTACTACTGTCTTCTCTTCCCCCTCTCCCTTTCCCTCTCGAACACAGGACACACAGTAGCTGTCCAGTCGTCATGTTTTTCATCCCCAGTAGTAACTGGCAAGCAAAAGCAGATCGCACCTGCCCCTCCAGTATCTGCACAGGCACGGCTGAGTCAGAAAGATCTGGCCACAGCACTGGGAACCCAGCTCTGCCCCTGCAGGAGGGGTCGAACTGTCCTCCAAAGAGCCAGGCCTCGGTGCCAGGGTGGCATCCTCCCTCCACTCCAAGCTCTGTCCCTGGGTGACCTGGGGTCTGTCTGTCCGGCTGTCAGAGGCCACAACACCTTCCGTACGCATCTCAGTCATTCCCTCCGGGGGCTGTCTTGACCTCTCCTCTGCACTTGCAGGGCGCCTTAAACACACGGGCGTCATGTCCAGGGGTGCAGCTTCGAAGTCGCCCGGCCACGTGTCCACCTCCCCGCACTGTGACTTCCCCAGCACGCGGTTTGTCTTTTTTAGCTATGGGGTCTCACCACCAAGCACTGCGCCAGGTCCAGGTGAGGCGCTCAGTAGCTGCCTTCGGTGCTTCCTGAGTACAAGGGACCTTTCAGCTCTTCGGGACCCAGCTCAAGCGCTACCTCTCCCTGGAGCACTTGCCACCCCGCCTGTCAGCAGCAGTGACTGGTGGTACCGGCCAGGGCAGTTATCTCTGTTTCTTATGACAAGTCGGGCTCTGTCATAAGCTGTCCCCCAGTGGGCAAGGATGTGTCCTACTTGTGTTTGCATCTTACCACCCCAAGATTTAGCAGGGGGCTTCCCACAGAGTAGACACCCAGCAAATGCACTGCTGAAGAACAAGGCACCTGTGCCGGATGAGCACCATGACAAGACTCAGGACACGGCCACCTCGCTGCTGAGGAATCTGTTGGTACCGCGCAGCCTGGGGCTGAGGAGCCATCTGCGGCCTCCTGGAGCGCCCTGAGCTGGTCTGCGAGCACTCGCTCTCAGGGAGCTCTGTGGAGGCTGCTGAGTATCCTCAGGCCACACTCCACCACAGGAAGGGGTGCTCCAAAAGTAACGTCTTTTTTTTTCAGTATTGGGGACTTAACCCAGGGCCTCTGCACTGAACTACAGCCCCAGCCCTTAGCTAATTTATTTCTTTATTTTTATTTTGAGACAGGTTCTAAGTTGCCAAGTTTCCCAGGTGGGGCTCAAACTTGCCACCCTCCTGCCTCAGCCTCCCAGAGGGCTGGCATGATACATGTGTGCCACCATGCCCAGCTAAGAAGTAACACTATTTTTAAAAATCAGAGAACAATAATGAGACCCCATTTTTCTCCACTGCCAACACACTTCCAAACTCTGTTTTCAGTGTTATAGCTTCAGTCTTTATAGGATACCGACCAGTGGCTACTGAACAAACATCTGTAAAACTTCCCGCAGGGCAACTTGCCTCTTCTACACCAAAAACCCTGAACATGTGGTATTTATTCCTACTGAAAACAAAGTGACTCCACAGATAAACGGCTCCTCACAGTGCTACAGAGCCATGAGCTCGGTGAAGCCACCTAAATCCAGCTGCAGGGCCTGAAACCCACTCCAAAGGACAGAATCCCACATGACCACTGGTATCACGCGCTCTCTGAGAACACTGTGGAGGGGAGGAGACGCTCTCGGTCACGGTGCTAAAACCGTATGTCCCACGGGCTTACTTCAAAAGTTTACAGCCAGAAAGTATTGGTGGTAAATGCACTAAAACCATAATCAGGGTTTGCCCTGGTTAGTTATGAGAGTTTCTGTGTTCCTCACCGGAACGACAGCCATCTAGAGAAGCTCGCTGATGCAATCTGTCCCTCTTTGTCGTCTACGCCACCCGTCAGAGCCCAGGGAATCCGGCCGTGTTCCAAGTGCAGAGTCTACCTACTGCTCATCAGCTGAGTCATGGTGGTCCCTGAAGAGCCACCTCCCTGGCTCATCCCCTCTGTGTTCCCTGACCCATCTCGGGTAAATGTCACAGACCTTGAATGTATACCCCACCCTTCCCTGGCCTTGCCTGTGATGAGTGAAGTGACCATCAGCAAAATCCTAATAAAAAGGGGTTGGAAGGTTGCTGCCTGGGCCCTGAGACCTGTGCAACTCAATCAACAAGCCAACAAGGGAACCTGAGGAACCTGCAAGGCACAGCTGAGGAGCACAGTGGTGCCATGCCTCCCCTGTGCCAGCCACACTGAAGGCTGAAGCAACTTGGGACTTTTTTTTTGGTACTTGGGATTGAACTCGGGTCCTTGCGCTTGCAAGGCAGGTGTCGGAACCACTGAGCTAAATCCCTTGCCTGCAACTTGGGATTTTAAAGCCAGGTGTGGTGGTGCATGCCTGGAATTCCAGCACTCTGGGGTGCTGAGGCAGGAGGACTTGGAGTTCGGGCCCAGTCTGGGCAACTTAGCAACTTACTGAGAATCTGTCTCACAATAAAAAAGTGCTGGGGTGTAGCTCACTGCAAAAGCCCTGAGTTGAGTCCCCAGTACCAGAAAAAAATTAGCACACTCAGCCCTTCCTGGGTGCCACTGCCTTTCCTCTGTGGGTGTCTTCCCTCTCCGCTCCCTCTCCTGTCTGGCTGTGAAGGAGCGAGGGGCTCCCATCAAGGCTCCAGCCATCTAGCCGGGCCCAGACCAGAGCAAGACACAGCAGGCCTGTATCGGGAAGGAAGAGCTACCGAGCCAGAAGACCTGGACCCACCTCCTCCTGTGACAGTCACCTTCCTCTGTTCCGTGTCTTCATCTAGAAGCAATGGAACCTCTTTTTAAAAACTAAAATTGCAATTATGCATGGCCATTTGGTGATTTTTGCTACTGTGCAAACACCAGAGTGTACTTATGAAAAACTAGATGGAACAGCCTACCTCCCCCTAGCCCAGTGATGGGGAACCCTTCAGAGCTGTCAGGGATACAAACAGCCCGCTGTGGCACTGCCCTCGGCTCTAGGGCAATACCGTGGTATATGGCACAGGTTCCCAACCCCCGGGCTGCAGACCAGTAGTGGTCTGTGGCCTGTTAGGAACTGGGCCACACAGCAGGAGCGAGGGCTGGGCTAAGGAGCAAAGCTTCATCTGTGTTTACAGCCGCTCCCCACGGCTCTCATCACTGCTGGAGCTTGCTCACATCACTCACCTGTCAGATCGATGACGATATTAGATTCTCATAGGAGCTCAAGCCCTACTGTGAGCTGTGCGTGCGGGGGATCCAGGTTGCATGCTCCTTACTGCTAGTCTATGGGGGTCATCATCAACCCTTGTGGCATTTGCCTATGTATGCAACAGACGGGTGAAACCAGAGATGCTCTGTGTAACGACACGGGAGAGGTGGCAGAGCTGGCTGGCTCACCCTCCTGCAGCACAGGCCCTGGCCCTCTCCCATGGACCCAGAGCGATCTGAAAGTCACAGACCGGAGATCTCTCACCACATCATCCTCACACTCAGCCCACTTACCGATCAATGGCGATGACCCCCAGGGTGAGCATGCTGGCCGAGCTGATGAGCAGGTACAGGAGGGCGGAGAAGTTGCACCAGACCACACCGAAGATCCATTCTCTCCGGATGGAGCTTGTCACCACGAAGGGCAGCACCAGCACGGACAGCAGGAAGTTGGACAGGGTCAGGCTGAAGACGAACTTGTTGCTGAGGGTCAGGAGGTAGGACTTCTTGTACAGGGTGACCACGATGACCAGGTTGCCCAGGCAGACGAAGACGGTGATGATGATGATGGCAACGAGCTCCGTGACAACACCCCCATCCCCAGCCTCCTGGGCAGTGAGGTTGCTCAGCTCCTTCCTGTGGCCGAAGGAGGAGTTGAGGCTCATGGTCAGTGCACCTGGGCGTGGCGTGGGCACAGCATGCTGAGCGACTGCAGAAGGGACAGGAGAAGATGCATCAGAGCACGCCATCTCCCCGTCACAGAAGAGGAAGCAAGGGCTTGGCAGGGCAAGGTCCCGAGCCGGAGATCACCCAGGCAAGGCCTGCCATACCAGCTCCACAAGTGGCCTGTGTCCTGTGACCACTTTGTGCGACTCACTGCATTTTCTTAAGTGATTTCTCCTTCCAGTCTAAACCCCACTGGAGTGTGTACCTGGGATGTCCCCCAGGCCCCTGTGTTAAAGGTGCCACTGGGAGGAGGTGGAGCCTTCAGCAGGTGCAGGCTAGCAGGAGGTTTGGGGTCACTGAGGGCTGCCGTGGAAGGGGGCTGTGGGGTCTGGTCTCTTCCTCTTCATGAGGTAAGAGGCTCCACTCCATTTTGTGCTCCTGCCACAATAAGATGACAACTTGAGGCCTCTAAAAGTGGGAGCCAAATAAAACCTTTGTTGTGTGTGTGTGACGCTAGGGATCCAAGCCAGGGCCTCGTGCATGCTAGGCAAGTACTCCACCACTGAGCTACAGCCGTAGCTCCTAACCTTTCTTCCGCAGCAGTTTGTGTCTCAGGTATTTGGTTATAGTAAAGGAAAGCTGGCTAGCACAATTCCCCTATCCATTGTCCCGAAGTAGTGATTCAAAGCCTTCCATGTGCTTAAGAATCCCTTGAGGATGGGCCGGGGATTTAGCTCAGTGGTTCCAGTGCCTGCATCCCAAGTTCAATCCCCGGTACCAAAAAAAAAAAAAAAAAAAAAATCCCTTGAGGTGACAGGTAAGACAGCTGAGACTCTGGTCCTGGAATCAGAGGCACAATCCGGGAACCTGCACTTTAAATGAGCAGCCGGGACAGGTGGCTGCATGACAAGTGTCCGCTGGGGGATGTTTTGTGGACTACTGCTGAGACAGGCGGGTTCTGAACCCGCAGGATCTGTGTCACTGGGCGCTTACTGAAGATGCAGGCCCTCAGGCCCACCTCTGATTTGGGAACAAAACCTGCACTCTAACCCCAGGCCCTGCAGATTCGTGTGCACATTAAAGCCTGGCAGTAAGATTGTCACAGGACCTATTCTGAGTTCCCTGAGAGGAGTCAATAGAGTTCAATCTACACCAAGACACTGTTTCTGCTCTCACAGACATGGTGCGGGAGGGCAAGGGGCCAAGCACTAGCTGTAGATGGGTAAGTAGAGGCACCATCCCAGGTCCTGGCCCACAGATATGAGTCTACACAGAGTGATCAATATGCAAATTGAATATTTAAATTTTTTAAATTTATTACAGTTAAGACATATGACCATAATCCTTCTCAAAATACACCCCTTCACGTCAAACACACCTGTCTCATCATTCCTGCTGCTTTCTGAAGTAGTTCTGGGATCCTCCTTTCTGAGTGTCTTTACGAGATGAAAGCTACTGCTGAGTGCCAGCCAACAGAAAGGCAGACTTGTAAAAGCTTCACTGTGTGTCCTCGCCCACCTTACTCACGGATGTGACATCATCAGGCTCCTGACTCCTCCCCACAGTCAAAATGACCACGAAAGATAAACATTCTGCGTCAATTCAGGACATCGAGGCAGCCACGACAGTGTAAAGACACGCACAATAGAGGACTTTCAGGACTGCTTCAGAAAGTGCCAAGAACGAAGGGATAAATGTGTTTGAAGTGAGGGGGAGGATTTTGAAGGGGATTCATGGCGATGTGTCTTTTACTGTAACCAATTTTTTAAAAAATTAAACATTCACTGTATTTTTCAATCACACTGCACAGAAGGTAGAGAGAGTCCCTACTCTCAGGAAACTAGCTCAGAATCTTGGCTCATAATCAAGGTTGACACATTTTCACATAAAATGCTACAGATGAATGTTTCTCCAAAACTTCTCATCTACTTTAATCAGCCAAAAACATCCTACAGACTGCTATTCCCACCTGCTCTTGTTCTCCACAAACGACAGACACCAGAAAGGCAGGCAACACAGCTTCCTGTGAGCCAGACCCCAAGAACTCAGGCTGAGCTGCCTACACACAGCAGCAGATGGGTCGCGAGCCCTCCTGGGAGACTTGGGTCCCTGTCCAGGACTGCGGGCCACAGGGCAGTGCTGAGTGCCACAGGAAGTGGTCCCCATGCCATGAGTCTATGCGGAGGTCCCAGCCACCGCCCTTCCCAGGCTCCCAGAATCACCCACCTTCCGTGTCCAGTCCCTCTCCGCACTTTCTGGTCGCCTGTCACAACACCATGCCCAGACCCTGCACTAACTCTCGACTTGCACTTGCTCACGAATGTCTACAACCCTCCTGGTGTCTGGTTCTCCAAGAGAACACAGCATTCCGGATGTGCTCTGGTCAGTGTCACCTGCAAAGGAACAATTTCCTCCACGATCAGGACAATCTCCTAATATTCACTCTACGAGTACATTTTCTTACAGCAACTCTATCACCCTGTTGGGCTCATGTGAGTGTGTGGTCAACTGAGATCCAAAGTGTATACATTCACCAACTTCTGTGAAGGCAGATGTCCCCAATCTTGAACATATGGAATTAATGTTTTTATGCCTAAGTACAAAACATTATTCTTACTAAATGTTACTTTGTGTGTTTTAGCCCATATTTCCAGGCTGCTGCTAAGATATTCTGAATTTTAATTCAGTTATGCAACTCCTTAGTTACTCTAGTTTTGGCCATGAGTATACTTTATAGGTATGCTGGTTATGTCTGTATCACTGTAAAATTGTTGTTGGTTTTTATATTTAGTTGGTGAGTTCTGGATTTTGTTGACTCTTACAGGAGAATTATTAATTGGTGTCTTAAAACTTTTACATAGCCATGTTATTCTTGAGTTAACTGAAAGGTGGTTAAAAAAAGAGACTGCATCATGAGACAAATGAAAAAAATGGCAGAAAAATTTTACAACCTACAGATAAAGCACGAACCATTCCAAATTATAAAGAATTCCTGGCCCAGGGATTTAGCTCAGTGGTTCCGGTGCCTGCCTCACAAGCGCAAGGTCCCGAGTTCGATCCCAGGTACCATAAAAAAAGAAGAAGAATTCATTAAAAAGCTGAGGGGAAAAACAGATGAAAAGTCAGAATAGAAATGTGAGTAAAAGACACAAACAGAGAGACCACTGAAAAAGATATGCCAAGGGTACAAGGACTGATCAAAATATACAGCAAATATTTATTTAAAAATGTATTACAGTCAAAGACACATTGCCATTAATCTCTCTCAAAATACTGCCCCTCACTTTGAATACACTTATCCCATCGTTCTTGCCACTTTCTGAAGCCATTCTGCAAGTCCTCTTTCATGTATTTATAAATTGTGACAAAAAATATGGTGAATGATGCACCAAATGCCATGCACCTGAAAGGCAGCCTCATAAGAACATCTCTGTGTGTCCTCACCCACCATGTTCACCAGACCCAGCACCACGGGACTCCTGGCTCTTCCCCAGAGTCAGACTGACCACGGAAGGGAAACGTTCTGAATCGATTCAGGACACTGAAGCAGTTATGACACCACAACTAAAAACACTTAGCAAAGAGGATTTCAGAACTATTTCAGAAAGTGCCAAGAAGGACAGAATAAATGGGTTCGAAGTGAGGGGGAGCACTTTGAGGGGATTCATGGATACATATCTTTTACTGTAATAAATTTTTCTAATTTAAATGTCCACCATATTTTTTTTTTTTTTTGGTACCGGGGATCAAACTCGGTCCTTGTGCTTACGCAGCAGGTGGCGAAACCACTGAGCTAAATCCCTGGCCCTGTCCACCATATTTTTAAATCACACATCATATGTAAAAGACTGCTTCACTCACTCAAAATGAAAAAATCGGGCATTAAAACTACACTAAAATAACATTTTTTTTCTTTTCAGACGAGCAAAAATTCCAAAGTGTGCTAGCACTCTCCATTGTCAAGGCTGCTAGTCTCCTAACACTCCAAATGGGACTGCAAATGGTGCAGCCCTACAGAGGGAACTTGGGCAATAGCCAGCAAAGCAGCACACGCATGTGCCCTTCGACCTGGAAGTCCCTTCCTAGGCATTCACCCTGAAGGTACAAGGTCAGACTATGAAATAACACAGGTGCACGCTCACCTTATTCATGGAGGCAATTAGCGTCAAAAAACCTAGAAATAAGTGAGAAGCTGAACTAAGAATACATACGCACACATATACACATAAATGTTTATATATCCAAAGAAAAAGAAAGACAAATCAGAAACTGAGAGATGGGAAGTAAAATTTCAGGTTATTATTTTTTTTTTTTTACTTTTGATTCTTGAACCATGGAAATGTTCCCCATACTAAGAAAATTAAACCAAAATGAATTTAAAAAGTAAACCTAACATCAATTGCAGGAAGAAACAAGATAAGCCTAACGTATATTAGGTTGATAACATAGCCATACACAGAAAAAAATTAAGTAGCTTCTAAACACAATTATGACTGTGTACACTCAATGGCATATAGTCCACAAAAAAGGAACAAAAGTTTATTTAGTGGGGTCCATGCTGGGAAAGGTATTGAAATTGTGCAGCTACTTTGAGCATAGAGCAGGTGAGCAAACCTGCTTATGTGCAGAAGCGAACTTCTTCCTGTGGGAGAGGGAGACAATTACAGAGCAGGGGAAGCCAAGAAGAGCCCTGTGGGTCAGACCTGCCATTGGAGGGGTCAGGATGGAGCCACGTGCACACATAAATGCAAAACCAGGGAATTCCCCAGAATGCAATCAGAAAGATTCAGAAATTGAAACTATAAGTAAAATGCAAATGAGAAAATGAACAGGAAGTGCTTTACAGGTTTCAATACTTTGCCTAAGAAAAGTTCAGTGGATCCCACTCCTTATGAGAGTTCTCACTGGCAGACATGATGGACTGAGCGGGAGTGAACAGCTTTCCCGTTCCAAACACATAGAAATGCTGGATAAAACAGGACACACAACTTTTCTTAAAAAGTCAAAAAAGTGAAAAAAGAAAGGGAAATCTACAGAGAGAAA